ATCGAGAAGACAATATGCAGACATTAAAACTACTCACTGCACAACTACCTCATTGGGGTCATCAGAACTGTCTGTCATTGGCAGTGATGGCCAATCACAAGCCTTTTCTAGCTCATCCATGGTTAGTAGCATAATTAGCCAATCACAGCCGCGCTAAACCCCGCCCTGTGGGCGGAGCATCATCGACTACAATTGGCTAGCTTTTTATAAGCTGTTCATTTATAGCTTTAAGATTATTCTATGGTTGTTACTAAAAAACTGAAAAAGGGCTATTCTAATTTTCTAATAACTCTTTCAGTTGTCAGCGCCTCTTAGCTGAACTTTGGCATGGTTCGTTGCGGGTTCGTAGGTAAGTTGTTAAAGGGCCGTATCCAGAACTCATCACACAAAGTTTGGGTGCTAGAAAGTCTAATCATCTCAATGAAGGTCTCTATCTCAAGTTCTAATCTTTCTAAACCTTAACCTTGTTGCTGACGAGTGGATACGGTCCATTGCTGATATATGAGGAACGGTGAAAACGTTCTCCCAGTGGGTCGAATCTTCGAGTGCTTGCAGCCCTGATCTGTCCACCGGCTGCGTTAGCGTTAACGTACAAAGCACCATGTGTTTCAGCCGAAACATCCAGTCCTGAACAACATGATGAGGAAGTAAGGAGTGACAATGAGTACCAAAATGCAAAAAAAAAAATGTTGTGGTATTTTTTAGTGTGCGACATATGATACGATAAGTTCGTACAAAACGGATCACCTTGAGGGAAATAGCGTTGGCAGTATGATGTCCTTGCCATTGCAGAAGGTAAACCAATTTTTCAATTGTCCCATCCTTATAGGTGCGGGTACGCGCAAAATTTCAGCTCGGTCTATCTCTTCCAAGAGTAACTTTTTTAAACATTAGGGTTTTAGGTGAATCCATATCTTGTTCATCGCGTCTACTCAGCTTATAACAATGTCATGATTAGTTGATTTATGAACAGGAAGATCTGTGCCTTCTACTACTCGTA